GTGGTGTATATGTGTATATGATATGTTGTACTGTTAGTCATAGGTCCAACGAATATGGTTTAGATGTTAGAAATAGCTTTTGGCACTTGTATGGGGTTTTGGATACCCTTTTGTTGTGAAAGTTGTAAAAAGTTGTGAAAATGTGTTTGGGTATCCAACTTCCTAGTGTGACTTCATTTGGAAGTGAAACCCATGCCATTAGCTAGCTTATGAAAATAGCTGTCCATAGACACTTAGGTCATCTCATTTAAACATTGGACGAAGAAATGGGGCACGTCAGAAGTTGCCTGGATCTACTATCAAATGATAGTGGAAATGTTGTCATGAAAGTGGAACACGTCATGACGCGTGGTACAAAGAGTCAGGAGCTGCGGTGCATTGTACACGAGCCACGGCTCATTACTCTATTCTTCAACCTTTGATATTTTTTAAACTATTTTAACTCATTTCACTCCTTTGAGGTATCTCATGCTTCCATAACATTATTTTACTTTGATTAATATTTTAATAAATGATTTTGATTGATTTTTTAAATTATGAAAACTCGGGGTCTCATATAAACTTCTACTATTCTTTCATATGGGTGAACTCCCACCCCTTATCATGATCATGCTCACACTTGTCATAAATATCACATACTTGTATCCAAATCATAATTTACTCATATAAAAAAAACTTTCATAAATTCATTGTTTTAAAATTATTTTCCATGCACAATACCTTTATTTTGTAATAAGCAATACTTTCAAAACACATACATGCAAAATTACATATTTACTCACAAATAGTTAAGCAATTAATCAAATAGAGTGAATTATTCAGTTACCTCAACTCTTTTGTCACAAAAAGAATTATTGTGGTCTAATATCTACTCCATAAGGTCCACTCGTGTATAAACTCTTGAGCAATATTTAATCTACATGAGTAAGCTCTAGTCATCAATTATCACTCTAATTAAACCTCTTAATCACTAAATTTTGGGTATCTACTATACCCAAAAATCTTATTTTAACACCATCAACACTCTTAACACACTTCATTAATTTTATTTAACTCCCAAACACTTAAAATAACATTACTTCTCCACCCACATTGTTCCCAATAGTTCAATTTTCATTTTGGGTTTGTCCAAACCCTAACAAAAAATATCAAATCACTATAAAATTTTTAAATCTAGGTTTAGAAATTTGATTTAACTCCTTAAAACTTTAAGTCAATAGGTTCGGTCAAAACCCAATGAGAGACAAAAACAACATCTAAACCTAACTTATCACTTCAAAAATTTGAATATGGGGGAGGAGAGGGGAAATGGAGCTTATCCAATGATAACCCAAGCTTGTATTACCTTTAAAAAGCCCAAATAATGAAGCCCTAACAGAGCCAAAAGCCTTCACCATCGCTTCTCTTGTGTTTACTCTTTTTTCTCTTCTGAAATCAGACACAACTCGCGTATGATTTATTTTAGAAACGGGCCGTGTGCAGTGGCACATGGCACAGCAAAGGCCATATGCCTTTTTGGCCACCCACTCAAGTTCGATTGACCCATACACCATTTTAACTCACTTTCAAAGCTGTCCAAATGTCTAAAAACCTTATTGGTGTCCTAGAAGCATCATTAATTCACAAATAACCTATTTTGACTAATATACCTTTTTAAACACTTAAAATTTTAGAGTTTTAAATTCCAGAATGTTACATATAATACTCACTCCTTCCCAAATTATAGTGCACTTTTAAAGGAGTTTCCCCATCCCAAAATATCTTATATAAGATATTTTGGGTAGATTAAGGTTTCATTAAATGCACCAATTCTAATATTACCCTTTCTTTCTCTAATTAATTTTCATCCCTTCTCTTTTCAATATATTAAATGATGGATATTTTTAAAAGTTTATATTTTTATTTTAGAAAGATAAGGTTATTGAGTGTATTTAATAAAGTTTATTGGTATATAAAATTTTATCTAAAAGTATTTTATAATTTAGAATGGGAGGAGTAATATATTAAGAAACTTGGTAGTAGCAATTGGTAGGGGTGAAACTTCCTTCTCCCGAATAAATGTTATTGAGTATGGGCATGACCAAATTGCCATATTTCATAGTAGTGGCTTCATATCTCTCTCTCTTCCCCTCCCTCCCTCCAAACCAAAAGTGTTCAGAATTAATCCATTCTTGATTACACCAAAACTAAATCGAACCAAATTGACATCAATTGATCAAACTTAATTATAAGTAGGGTTTGGTTTGGTGTTTCTTTTAACAAAATTGATTAGTTTAATTCACTTCAGTTTTTTTTTCTTCTTGAAACTTACACTAAACCAAATTAGACTTTATTATATATTATATATATATATATATATATATATTTATAAATTTGTCTAAGTTTTTTTCCCTTTCTCAAGTTTAGTTATTTGTAAGTCACTAGTAAAAATATGTTACAATTAACTAAATGTTATCTATAATTGGTTATGATAATTTTTTAATTTTATAATCAAGTGTTTTAAAGATAATATATTGATTTTTAATAGTTAAATATGCTAATTAATTATTAAAAAAATATTCTTTTGTGCTCAAGAGATATTTTCATTATAAATAATAATTAATAGTTAAAAATTATTAGAGAACATGGATAATTAATGAAAACTATCTTATAAAAAAGTCTTAACTTGATCTAAACTAAACATAAACCAAACCGAATAAAATTGTTCAAAAGCCAAAATAAACTTATTAAAGAAAAAACTAAATAGATTCCAAATTATAATGAACTTAATGATTTGATTCGACTTAGTTTTTTTTCAAAATTGAACATGTGAATACTTTAGTGTAAATCAATGATGCATGCAATAGAGTCGATAATTCAGGCCATCTTGAACCTACCCAAAAAAAGTTAAGGTCGGGCTTGGCTATATAGATTTTTTTAAAAGAGTAGAATACTTTAAGTCTAATTCAAATAAGCCGCCCAAATTGAGCCCAATTAGAATAAGCTAGACTGTTGGAATTTTTGGCTCTATATGTATACCCGAACCCGATCAAAAATGTTAGAGTCAAGCTTGATTATATGAATTTTTTTTAAGAGAATAGAATACTTTAAGTTTGACCTAAATAAGCTCGGCCCGCTTGAATTAGCGGCTCTAGCATGTAGTGTGGCGGGAGGGGAGATGGATTTGATAGTTGTTGCTGGCAATGGAGTCGTTATCAGAGGGCTGGAGCATTTGATGGGCCAACTTTTTTTTTAATATATAAGAGACTTTCTCCATTAAAAAATGTAAGGTATTTTTTGAGGGGTTGAATGTTAAAAAATATAAAATATTTTTAGTCTTTCAAATTGTAATCATTGTCTTTTTTTCTTCAAAAGTGCCCCAATTAAATAAATCATTTATATTTGTTTTAGTGGGAAACACCTTATTAAATATGGGTAAATATGGAAAGACAAAGAAGGTTCAAAATAGAACTGATAATTCAGGTGGGTCGGGCTTATTCAGATCGAGCTTGAAGTATCCTACACTCTTTAAAAAACTCATATAATCAAGCCCGACCCTAACTTTTTTTGGCCGGGTTCGAGCTGGCCTATCGAACTTGACCAAAATTGCTAACTTTATAGAACTGAAAATTCCAACGGTTGGTACTTATTCGAGTCAGGCTCCATTCAAGCCAGACTTAAAAGTATCCTACCCTCTTAAAAAAGCTTATATAGCTAAGCCTGACTCTAACTTTTTATCGGCTCTAGATAAAAATGTCTTATAGTAGAAAAAATGGGTATGGACACCTGATCATGCCATATGAGCACAATAAAATTAACTAAGCGTCAAATAATAGGATACATCCAGGTGAAAATTTTATCACTTTTTAAAATGTTAAGGCAACATTGTACTCCTTCCATTCAAAAATGTAAGGCATTTTTAACAGAATTTCACCCCAATAAAGTAGTTACTTACTTTCAAACTAATCCTATGTTTTTATATTTATCCCTATTAAACATCCTACAATAAATAAAAAATTATTCATCAATAGAGGCATTTTTAGAAAAAAGGTAATAATTACACTTCGAAAGACTAAAAATGCCTTACATTTTTTAACATTCAATTCTTTAAAAAATGCCTTATATTTTTTAATATTTTAGGATACTAATTAAGATTTTGCTGAAAATATTTGGAATAAATTTGTACTTTAAATCAAACTTTTATTTAAATATATCACTTTATTTAAATTTAATTAAGTGATAATAATATATTTTTTGTATTTACAAGAATGACCCGTGTACTGATTTTTCTTTTTCTCTTTTGGGGATGAACGCCTACGTGTTGAATTTTATTTCAACATGTCTCTTGTATTCGGCAAACTCAGCAACGTCCCCCACGTGACATAGATTGCATGATATAAACGGGTTTGCTGTTTAGTACAAGTCAACATCAACATTAATCTCAGGCACTGACATCACCATATTACATAAACGGGCGAGTAAACATCATTATTAATATATGACATTGTCATCACCACTGTACATGTCAGACTCAGAGGGTTCATTTATTTAAAAAAAATTAATAAATTTATTTATTACTAATCTAATCTAAATTCATCTTGAAATGTTCAATTTAATATTAAATTTTTTAATAATTTTTATTTATTAACTATTTAGATATATTTTTAAATAGTTTGTATTTAATATTAAAATTTTTTAATAAAAATTATAAATTAAAAATTGTAAATTTACACTATTTAAAATGAATTTGTATAATTAATTTATAAGAGTTTTATTATTTCAGTAAAAAAAAGAGTTTTATTATTAAATTTGAAAATTTTAAATTAAATTTAAACCAGATTAACGATAAACTGATTTATTAAAATTTTTATAAATTTTTATTTTAATAAATATATAATAAATATTTTAATTCTGGACATTCAAATTTCATCACTCTATGTCACTATATAATGGGTACTGAAAATCAACCCAACAGGTGCTTTGAAAAGTCAAAATGTCACATATAGACCTATACAGTTAAGCGATGCCACCGCCCACATACTAGGAAGACTAATGAAGCTTTTTTCTCTGCCATGGCTTCCACTCTATTCTTCCTTCTCTTCTCTATTTTCCTTCATCTTCATTTTGATTCTTCAAATTCACAAAGTTGGATCAAAGCTGGTTATTGGTACGTTGGCAGTGAATCTCCCATTCCTGACATAAACTCTGCTTTGTTCTCACACCTTATATGCGCCTTCGCTACTGTCAATCCCTCCACTTACGAGCTTTCCATCGCCAAATCTGATCAACAATATTTCTCCACCTTCACCAACATCGTCAAGCGCAAGAACCCCTCGATCGTCACTCTTATTTCTGTATGGAACGGACAGCCTGAAACTGCACAGGGTATTTTGGGGAAGAAGGCGAACCATTCGGTTCTCTCTTCGATGCTCAGGAACGATTCTTCTAGAAAGTCTTTCATTCAGTCCTCGATACAAACAGCTAGGCGACATGGGTTTCAGGGCATTGACTTGTTTTGGCTTTGGCCTCAAGCAGAATCAGATATGACCAACTTGGGTATTCTGCTTCACGAATGGCGACTTGCTGTGGATTCTGAGAACAGAAGCTCTGGAGAATCGTCGTTGGTTTTGAGTATGGGTCTTCATTACTTGCCTACTGTTTTTGGGAATTTGAGTTACCCTGTTGATTCTTTGGCGAGGAATTTGAACTGGGGTCATATTCTGGCGTACGATTATCATCTTCCTTCACTGGAAAACTTCACGCATCCTCATGCTGCTCTGTATGATCCTGTGAGCCATGTGAATACTGATTTTGGTGTAAGGCAATGGTTGAGCAGAGGGTTTCCTTCTAACAAGCTGCTTCTGGGATTGCCTTACCATGGCTACGCCTGGGCATTGGATAGTTCCAAGGAAACTGCGATTGGTGCTCCATCATCGGGTGTGGCTGAGACACAAGATGGGTCTATGAGCTATAAGTATATCAAGTTGTATGTACGGAGTTATGGTGCTCCTACGTTGTACAATGCTACTTATGTCGTGAATTATTGTACAATTGGTTCCGTTTGGATCAACTTTGATGATGTTGAAGCTATCAGAACTAAGGTTGCTTATGCTAAGGAAAAGAAACTGCTGGGTTACAATGTGTTTCAGGTGATAAATGATGATAATTGGGCGCTTTCTGAGGCAGGTAAGGAATATGTTTTACTAAAATTACACACCAACTTTCTTTCCGATGGCGAACATTTTTTATCTGTTGACACTGACATCTTTTATGTACGAGGAAGGAACCTTATTATCTGCTGACATACAAAAGTGTATATATTCAAGCATGTGAAGAAAATGTGCGGCTTCTCCATACTGCCATTATGGTTTTGGAAGAAGATCATATATCTATCAGGGAACTCTGTTCTCTAAATTGCATTTCCAATCTTCATTAATCATTAGGGTTATTGTGTTTTCTGTGTTTTTTTTTTTTTTTAACTCAATGTTTTCTGGTTTCTTTAATTCATATGGACAATCATAAGATGAACAAAAATGGCTAAATTTGATGCATTTGAGGGAATGACAATTGACGAGATGGATAACAAAATTACTTGTAAGAAGTAAGAGCTAAAAATCTTGAATGAAATTACTCTCATACTGAAAGAATTTGAAGATACTCATGGAAAATCAAGAAAGAAAAGGAAAAAAAAAAAAAAAAAAGGTTCTGGTTTTGTGAGAACTTGAATTAACAAGAACTTATTGACAGCTCAAGAAGAAGAAACTGATCGTGGAAACAAACGGAGGCTATTACTTATTATTTTACTTCCAGTTGCAATAATCATCATTACACTAGTCTTTCTTCTGTGCTGCTTCAGAAGCAAGTCATTCAAATCAAAAGGTAATTAATAATTTGAATCAGAATGTTCTGGTTACTGTTACTAGGTACTGTTATAAAGGGCATTTGGACCTTCTTTGTGTTTTCTCCATTTGTTTCAGTGAAGAAGGTATTTGGTAAAAGCTCAAAAGGTCCCATGTCAAATGCTGAGAGCCTTGAAACAAGTGCCCCACATCTTGAAGAATTTAGCTTTGCCATCATAAGAGCAGCAACAAATGACTTTTCCGTTGAAAACAAGCTAGGAGAGGGTGGATTTGGTCCTGTCTACAAGGTAATAAATTTGATCCTGTGAACATTTGTTCTGTGAGATATTCTTTTTTTTTTTTTTTTTTGTAATTTACTCATAAGTATTCTCCTATTGGAGGCAATAACATCCGAGACACAATACGATGCTAAATGTTGGCACCTCTCTAATGGGATTCAAATATTGATTCATTATGTTGTGAGGAATTAACCTTTTTTGTTGGACCCAATCTTTGTTGGTTGTTCTGTGAGATATCCTAAATATAAAAGAAAAAACTTCAATCTAAAATATCTCAGACTTCAAAATAAGCTAAACTTTTCATTGAGACAATCATGATACTAGCCGAATTATGCACAGAAGAGCACTGGGATATGCATAATAATTTCAAATATCAGCATCGAGAAAGTTGAGACATGCCTATATTAAGAAATCACCTTCATCCTAATTTCTTAGTTTATTTATTTCTGTATATCTAAAATTATGCACTATTTTTTACAGGGAAAACTGCCAGGAGGACAAGAAATTGCAGTCAAGAGACTTTCAATGGCTTCTACTCAAGGACATGAAGAATTTACAAATGAGGTTTCACTCACGGCGAGGCTTCAGCATGTCAATCTGGCTAGCGTTTTGGGATTCTGCATTGAGAGAGAAGAAAAAATGCTAATCTATCAATACATGCCTAACCGAAGCTTGGACTTCTACCTTTATGGTATGGAAAACCTTTGCTATTTCACATGTTTCTTCTACTATGCGTTTCAGAATCACCTAGTCCTAAGTGTAGTGTGCATTATCTGGCTAGCTTCCTAGGGTTCCTTAATCACTATTTGATCCTAAAACTTGCTTAATTTTCTAGAAGCTGACATTGCAATGACCATTTTGACTCAGAAGTTTAGTCTCAAGTGACTAAGCCTACAGAGAAACTCCAGATTTTTTTGTGCTTTTGGCCTGGTCTGAACTAATATCTTAATTGGCTAACTTTTGTTGCTAATCAAAAGCTAGTTTAAACTACAACTCCTTGCAGATCCAATTAGAAAAAACCTATTGGATTGGGGAAAGCGTGTTCATATCATTGAAGGAATCATTCAAGGACTTCTATATCTCCAAGAATATTCAAACTTGACAATAATTCATCGAGATTTAAAAGCTAGCAACATCTTGCTTGATGATAAGATGAATCCAAAAATATCAGATTTTGGAATGGCTAAACTTTTTAGAAAAGATGAAGTTGAAGCAAATACTGGGCGAATTGTTGGGACATAGTAAGTAAATTGCCTCTTGATGTTCTATCATAATCTTGTTTTATTGAACGGTTTCTTATATATGAAATACAGTGGTTATGTTCCTCCAGAATATGTAAGAAAAGGCACATACTCAATGAAGTATGATGTTTATAGCTTTGGAGTACTACTTTTGCAAATCATTAGTGGCAAGAGGAACAATTGCTATTATGGCGCTGACGAGAACCTGAGCATTCTTGAATATGTAAGTAGTTTTCAAGGAACTTCTCTTGAGATTTGCTTTGCCTGAATCATGTTGAAGCTTGATTTTGAAACACAGACAGGATCAATAACTTGATGTTGCACCCTAACAGGCTTATAATACGTGGAAAGAGGGTAAAGGTTTGGAATTTGTTGATCCATCTCGAGAAGATTCGTCTTCTTCTTGCAAACTTCTGCAATGTTTGCATGTAGCCCTACTGTGTGTGCAGGAAAATCCAGTAGAAAGGCCAACAATGCTGGAGGTTTCTTCCATGCTCAAGAATGAAGCTGAGGCAATTCCTTTGCCTAAAAGGCCAGCTTTCTCAACTAAAAGTGATGAAAAATTAGAAGATAGATCCTCATCCACATCACAGCAAGCAAGTTGTTCCATAAATGATGCTTCAATTTCCCAAATAATGGCCAGATGAAGAGTAAATTTGTCACTGCAGAATCTGAAGATCTTGTAATTTGATGTAGTGTTCTTGTAAATATATGTGCTTTGCGCGCAAATGACATGAACTTAAGTCAAATATCTAATTTAGATGTTCTGAAAGTAGTGGGAACGTTTGGTGGAAGAAAAAGAATTTCTCCCCAAAATTATGTAATGAAACGAGGGAATGATAATATAGCAGAAATGTCAAAAATGAACTAAGCCCTTCCCCGTCTAAACCATTAATCTGTTATGTTTTGATGATAATTATTGTTAGCTTAGCTCATTTAACTCAAGAAATTAACAAGTCGATCTACATAATTTACATGATTTGCATGAGTGTTTGATGGGCTCGATCTTGATTGGGAGTTCGCTAGCAGCCCGAAACAGATAACCTGATTTGGGCCATTGTGCTGCATGAATGGTGCTGTTGAGCTATGCTATCAACAGGTTTAAGTTGACAAGTCCTACTGTTGGTGTGAGGGTTTACTGATAAGCAATTTGTAAATACTTTTAAAAGTTCTTTAAATCTACATGCATATTTTGATCTTGATGAATTTTTGAGATTCAATTCATCTAAATTGTTTCTTTTTGTTTTTTTTTTTTGGGAGGAAAAGTTGTTATGCCATAATAAAGGGACTGGCTGATCCATCGGTTTTTGGGTGGATGATTATTATTATGTTGATATATTTATTATTATCATAAATGATCAATTGAATAAATTAAATAATAAATTTAATAACCAAGCAACATAACTTTTTAAATTGAGTGTAACTTTGAATCTTAAGTATGTGTTTAAAATATTTAATACCAAAGCATGTACAATCTTATTGAAAAATTTTACTCTTCAAGTTTTTCTCACCAAGAAAAGATTATTTATTTAACATATAAGTTATAACATTATAACCTTTATGTGTTTAGAAATGGACTGTTACAAGTAAATTATGTCAAATATTTGTACACCCTAAAAAATTCTATTTCTGATTTATTGATTTATTTGTTTATTATGAAGAACAGACTAGCAAAACTTTAAAAAAATATAAATATTTATTTTAATTATATATTTATATAATTGAATTGAAACATGTTAAAATATTTATGTTATGTTAATTATAATAGGTGTATATATATATATATAATTTTTTTCAATTATCAATTTGTAATCTTGAACACCTTCAATGTTTACTAAATATTAGATTTCATACAGATTAATACACGAATCATAATATTATAATAAATGAATGGTTGAGATTTTTTGTTTTTAAGAAAAGAAAATAAGTGACTTTATATTGTTTAATTCATATATCGTTAGAAAATTTATCGCCTGGATCGAAAAATCAAGAAGGCAATGTTAATCTATCAACCTGTTTTTTTTTCACCGTTAATTTGTCAATTTAAAATTAACAAATCCTTATGACATTTTTTTATTTCAAATAACTGTCATCATAAAATAAACAAATGCAATTACATACAATTAAAATTTAAATCAAAATGAAATAATGCAAAAAAAAAAAGTTTTACTTTGGTAAAATCATTTTTTAGAAAAAGACAAGAGACATTGAATGTACCTTCTAATTTCTATAAAATTATTGTATCCTTATTTTTTTTAGATTTTTATTATTTATTATAGGATTAAAAGATAAAAATGCTCTAAAATGACAGAATTCTAATTTTTTTGTCAGAACAATGCCATCGCGGTGAACAAATGGTCAAATAATGAACAAGCGATTAACAATCCATTTAAATTTTAACTTTTTTATGATGAGTACCTAGTATTTAACTTGTTAAAGTTTAAATTAATTGTTGTTAATTTTAAATGATTTGTTGCCAAAACTTGAATAGATATTTGATGAAAGAGTTACACTTATATGATTAAATACATCCTATCAATTTTCCTAACTTGTTAAAATTTGAATGGATTGTTATTAATTTTAAATGTGCTATTTATTGATAAATGATTAATACTTGTAGAAGCTTGAATTAGAAGTTTAAGCTATTACGTACTCCCTTCAGTTTTTATTATAAAATATTTTTAACTATTTCACATCTTTTAAAAAAAGTTAATTTTTTTATTAATATCATAAAAAGTAGAGATATACTTTCATTATTATCTTTGATTTTAAATAATAATACAACTATATTAAATATCTTTATACTAATCAAAAAAGAATAAAATTAAAAACATAATTTAATTATTACAAAGTGTCATATATTTTGAATCAAAAATTACTTATAAAAAATATCTTATAAATAGAATCAGAGAATATATTATTTTCTACCATGCCTTAGATTTTGGTGGCTACCCATATTTTTACATGGCTAAGGGGTAAATTTTAGGGGTAGAGTGGTTATTTATGGTAAAAACTTAATTTCAATTAAGGATAGAAGAGTTGAAAGAGTTGTAGTGTAATTTTAGAATTTTACTGTCCTTCTTTGATAAAAATTTCTTGATATTTTCCCTACAGCTAAAACCGGTCCAGCCGGCCGAGTTTGTTGACCGTTCCATTCTCATTCTTCAGATCAGTCGAGCAACCCAACCAAGCCTTCCCTGTTCGTCTCTCATGACTCCTTCTTCTCTTGATCTACTTTGTGCTCTGCAACATTCATTCATTTAATTTCTGTCATCATTTTGATTTATTTATTGCTTCTGAATTTAATTGAAAGTGCAGGTTTCCGGTGCATTCCTTCTCTCGCCCATGAACCATTCCTTTCAACACCTTTCTTCTTCCTATCAACGTGTTTTCTTCTTGTTGCTTGAAGTTGATGAGGTTCAGGTACTTCCCTTCCTATCCAAATTTCTCACTTTCTCTGACAATATCACTACAGATTCGACCTAAATATTTTATGAGAAAAATTACAGCATATAGGCCCGAGCCTAACGAGAAAATTTAAAAAGAAAGAAAGAAAGAAAGAAAGAAAGAAACACTAATTAAATAAAACTAATCTGTGATTTTCTTCCAACATGAGTCATGAAAGGAAAGTACAATATTTAATTTTTCTAATTTGTTTATTTTGGAAGCTTCAAATCTCATGTGTGATTCTCAAAAAGATCGCTTTCTAGGGTTCATGATTCTCCCACCTCTTCCAAGAAGCTCGCCAATGCTAGAGCCAACCTCAGCGCCACCATGACCGGCGTCGTTTCTTGGGTGCTCCGGCGTGGCTGAAGAGGAGTGACCATCGGATCTTGGAGAGCTCGGACGGGGAAGAATACGAACCGGATGAGATGCTTGTGGTGAGCGAGTCCATCGGAAGGCCCACTGAGATTGCGATTAGTGCTTCAGTGCTTCGGCGTCGCAGTCTTTCGTCAGTTCAGATCGCCGGTAACACTGAAGCCAATCCCTCAGAAGAAGAACTCAGGACTGGCCTTAATGAGAGGTCAGAGTAGAGTAGAAGCTCTCAGAAACTGAAAGAGAGACGAGGTTAGCTTCGATCTGGATTCTTTTTTGAAAAAAAAAAAAATTCTTTTTAAAAAAAATGCGGCTGCCAACATGGCAGTGTCAAAGACATGATCAACTATTGATCAACGCTGACGAGAAGTAAGATTACACTCTTTAAATTAGCGGAGTCGGCTTTGTTCCTGCACAAAGTCGTTCCTCCACAGTCCCTCTCCACTCAAAAATAAATCTGAATTGTTCAATTTAATTTAAATTTAAATTTAAATTTTTATTTTATGTTTATTAAAATAAAACATTTATAAAACTATAAATAATATATGTAATAAATTTGATCGCCAATCTAAACATTCTAGATTTATATAACCAAAATAGATTAATTTATAAAAATTTAAAATATTATAATATTAAATTAAATTATTTAAATTAAATCAATATTGTGCAGATTGATGATGAGAAGATTTATTAAACTATTTTATAAATATTTATTTTTATAATATAAATATAAATTGTCCAGAGTGATTATCAAATTTATTACAATATATTATTTATAATTTTTATAAATATTTTATTTTAATAAATATAAAATAAAAATAAAAATAAAAAGATTAAATTTGGACCGTTCAGATTTGCTTCTGAGTGCAAAGGAGATGCGAAGGAGCGACTTTACGGAGGAGCAAAGCCGACTCCCTTTTTAGCCGATGCTAACAAGAATTTAGGAGAATTTTAATAAAGGACCCTTGATCAAATTTATTTACATTCAAAGCATTTAAATTTTTGAAATTATTTTTTACGATAGTTCAGGAGTACTGATTTAATATTAAATTTATAAAAAATATGATAAAATTGACCCTCCTTTAAATTAATATCAGGAATTTCCTACTTCACTTGTTCATTTACTTACGAAATGTTATTAATTGCTTTACTTTACTTACAAATTAATATTAATTTAAATGAATGATAATTTTTTCAATTTTTCTAAAAAATTTAATATTAAATCAATACTTCTGGGCTACAGTGAAATTTTAAAAATTTAAAAGCTTTGAATATAATTAAATATAGTCAAGGGGTCTTTATTGAAATTTTCCATAAGAATTTTGGGTGAGTGGAGAGACCAACACTTCCTTTATTTTTTACTCTCTCTTATTTAAAATATAAATATTTTTTCTTAATTAATCTGGATTCAAAATATAAAAACTCAATACATGTAAAAGAAAGGTTCCCATTTTACTCATTATATTTATTCACTTAAATATCTGTATAAATATATCTCTCATTTATCATAAAGTGTATTGATAATTGAGATTAGCGCTAAAAATAATAATATATTTTTATAAAAATAAAAATTTTATTGATACTAAATTTTTTACAAAAATTATTTATATTTTGTTTCAGAAGGAGCATGAGAGTTGAATGTTATGGAGGCATCCTTGAGAACAGATGCTTCTCCTCTCGAAGTCATCTGATCTGGCATTGGCTAAAGTTCTCGTTATTTGTTGTTTCTTCCTTCAGTCTTTTTGTTTTCTGTTGTGATTTGCTTGTTTCTATTCTGGATGGTGTTGGTGCTTTTGGAATGAAATTCCTCTTTTGGGCAGCAAAAAAACTGCAATTTCACGCAAAAAAACTTGGTTTAATTTTTTGACATTAAAATTTTTGTTTATTCACTTAATGTTTACCAAAACTATCTTTTCAGCCTTAAACTTCAATTCATCTATATGTGCAATAATCTTTTCATTTCCAAAGTAAGGCTTGCTATATTAAATTTTATACTTTTCAAATTAAAATAAATAGAAATACAACAACAACAAGCCTTTATCGTACTAGGTGGGGTCG